ATTATAACCATATAGGAGAACAAGACCCTCTAGCTCTTTGTACCCCTTCCCACTGCCATGTTCCCCACCAGGTGCTTGCTCCCTTCTTTTCTCCAAGTGAGAACATCTTAGGCTAAACTCCAGACCCTTCTCTTGTATGGAGAGGTTCCTCTGGGGCATGCCTAGAATTCTTGTCTCACAGCCCTCCACATACCAACACCTACCTGGGTTTTCAACTCAGCCTAACACACCCTGAGTAGCTGGATCTACTCAGTACTGGGCGCTGGAAACCCAGAGATGGGAAAGAACCAGGCCTGGGGATTCCCTGGTGGCGCAGTGGCTGAGAGTCCGCCTGCCGATGTAGGGGACACAGGTTCGTGCCCCGGTCCGGGAAGATCCCACATGCTGCGGAGCAGCTGGGCCCGTGAGCCATGGCCGCTGAGCATGCGCGTCCGGAGCCTGTGCTCCGCAACGCGGGAGAGGCCATGACAGTGAGAGGCCCGCGTACCGCAAAAAAAAAAAAGAACCAGGCCTGCCCTTGAGGGGCTCCAAGCAGTGGTCCATGTAGGGATATGGTGTCACCCAGCAGGACGTGGAGCCCCTGGAGGCTGGGGTGAGTTCCACCCTCTGCCAGGTTCCGTGTGGAACAGGCAGTTGTTAGGGATTTGCTGACTCCCAGATTCCCTTCAGCCAGCCTCCCAAGAGCCCAAGATGGGCTTGGGCATTTTTAAACCCTCTCCTGGCGCTGGGCAGACATCCCAGACTGCCAGTGGACCGTGCAGAACGTGGCTGCTTCTTCACTGTGGAAAATGCCTTCATATTGCAGACACCTCCACCACAAGGGCCCTGTCCCTTAGCCTTCCTGCTTGGAAGGGCTGCGGTGACAGGGCTGTCTGGGGCAGAAGCAGACACTCACCTTCACCACAGGAAGCGTTACCAGATCCCTGTCCTCCACCCCTGCCCCTCCAGTCCACCAGCCCAGGGAGGGGGGATGCAGGCCCTTGGAGCAGGGAAGGGAAGAGGGCGATGTTGACAGAAGCCCCTCACTCTCTGTGCGTGTGTGTTTCTATTTGGGAACAACCTGCACACTATCTTCCCTTAGAATTTTAATTCAGTAACAGACACGAGTGGATCAGCCTTACTGTGAGAGAGAAGGTGAGCATCTACAGGGTCGGGTCTGCAGAGTTCTACGAAACTCCTGTCCCAGAGCCCCTCCCTTACAGCTGGCTGTCCCATTGCCTGGAATCCCCCCATGAGCACCGTCCTTTTGGGTTAAGCATTGCCCTTATTGCCAGAGCCCTACCTATACATGTCCCCCTGGGATTGGGATGCCGACGTGAACGGGGTTGAAGGACCGAGGAAAGGAAACAAGGGGGCAATGAAAAAGGGTGGGCTCAGCTGGGAGGAGGGAGATGGCGACACTGAAGACAAAGGTCTTGGATTTCAAGGTCACAGTGATTAAGGCAAGATTCAAAGACCAGGAAGTTTGCTTGGAGCTTGAATCCAGCCAGCAGGTGGCAGGTTATGGCCTTCTTATCAAGCCCATTTTTTTGGAGCTGGGTCCCCTTCTGTCACCTCCCACTTCACCCCAGAATGAATAACCCAACCATAGGCACGAGGACCTCGTGGCATAGCAGGCACACAGAAGAGCCAGCATCTGAAACGCCCCAAGTATCAAAAGAAGGGAGGCTCAGAAGGGGGCAGCAGGACCCTCGCTGCCCCAGGTCAGCTCTCTCCAAGGAACAGCCAGAGGAGGGCGCTCACCTCACCTTCCTCTGAGGCTGCCTGTTCTGTTCTGAATAGCTGGAAAGAGGCTGGATCGGGGTTCCTGTCCCAGCCCAGCCCCTGACCTGCTCTGTGACCTTGAGCGGCTCCCCCCTCCCTGCCCTGCCCAAGGGACAATGGCGGGGAGGGGCCTGGTGAGTCTACAATTCGAAGAGGCTGGGAGCTGAGGAGGTGGCAGAAGGAAGAGCCGGGGAACATGAAGGGAGGGAAGAAAAGGCAGGGAAGGAGGAGAAGGGGTCTGAGCCAGACCTCTGCAGCCCGGTGGTCACAGCCTAGCCCGGGCCTGGTGCTCACCAGCTCTAGACCCTCGCAGTCTCCAGGAAGTCGCCGATGAGAGAAATGGGAGCTGCGTCCCAGGCAGGGATACAGCCCGGGGCAGAGGAAGAAGGGTCTCTGCTAGACCACGGAAGCCCTGAATCCTTGCCCCGGGAGGCTGGACGCCCCTCAGCTGAAGCAGGAATGAACCCCTCCCGCTGGCTGATGCAAAGGGAAGGGATCAGGGGAGGCTGTGAAACAGGGAGCCAGGCGAGGGTGGTGGTTTAGTGGGGGGTGGGGGGAGGGGATGGGGAAGGGGTGCCTGGGGCTTCAGGATGTTCCTCTTAGCGTAGGGGGAGGGGGAGGGGAGGAGGGGGATGGGGAGAAGAGGGAGAGGAAAGGGGTCGTGCGAGGAGACCTCCCAGGAACGGATCCAGAGCTGGGATGGGAGATGAGTCACCCCCTGCCAACAGACCTAGGCACCTTGCATTATACCTCTCTTAAACCGGCACCATCCCCAGCGGGGGACCTAGGACAGAGCTGGCTGCACCCTGCTTAACAAATGACCTTCAGACTAGCTCACAGAGGAATGGCCGTTCTTAACTCCGTTGGGTTCTTTTTGTCACTAAAAGAACTGTTCACCTCTTGGGGCTGCTTGGCACTGTCCTGTGAAAGTCCCCCACCCACCCTAGGGTCTCCCACCCTAACCTGTCCCCCACCTGCCTCAGGATGCCTGACATTCACACATTTGTCCATCCTTTGGTGAAGTCATTTGTAATGATAATGAAAGTAGCTTATTTGTCTCTCTTTGCCTACTGGGAGGCAAATAGACAGTTTTCATTCAAAAAACCATTTTATGAAATATTTATCAAGCGCCTTTTCTACATCAAGTATTATCCTAGGTGCTGGGACAAAAGAGATGAACAAGATATAGCTCTTGTTCTCAAAGAGATTCCACTCTAATTTATAATTAAAATTCACATGCAATGCAGAGAGGAATGTCTGGGAGGACCTAGAGGGCTAACAGTGATTTTCTCAGGGTGATGGGATAACAGGTTAACTCTATCCTTTTTGAATATCTGCATTTTTCTACAATAAACAAATTTTTTCAATAAGAGAGGAAGGTTTGGGGTTTTTTTTTTTTTAAGATTTTAAACACACATAATAGCATAGGATTGGCTACTAACTGTTTCCCTTGGGACGAAACCTCAAGCTTATTCTGCTCAGTTCACCGGGAACTGGGGCTTTTCCTCCCGTGTCTCCATGGCCCCTCTGGACCAGAAAAGATTGCCCACGTGGGTAGTTGGATGGGGTGAGCAACTCACGTATGGCCACGTGTCACTTCTGTTGGACGCTTGACGGGAGGGAGCCTGATAGGAGACCTCTCCCCACCCCCACCCCCACCCCAGCTCCCCGCCACCACAGCTCACGTGGATTCCTGCACGAGCAAAGGTGACGACAGATTTTCACTGGGCTTTGGCTCAGCCTTCCCTGGATCCTCTTGATGGTGACTTGGGCTTCCCTGATCCCTCTAGGTCTGGTGCCACCCACTGACCTCCTCCTACCCTACCCCAGGTGTCCCCAGTCCCTAATCTTGCCTAAGGAGGAGCAGGGCGCACTGGGTCTTCACCCATCTTCTTCCCAATCTACTGTTTGTGGCATAAAATCCGTGACCTGCTTCCTCTGGCATTGAGCCCTTTCTCCTCTTCAAATCAAAACCCTAGGCTGTCAAAACTCTTTATTGTCTCAGCCATGAATTTTTGAAAATATGTTTGGAAACTCAGAAGCTGAGTATTGATTGTTTTTTATATATTCCTGCTATCAGAATCCTAGTTTTCCCTCGGGCGGTGAATATCTCTGGCTGGGATGGGGAGAAGGTACGTCAGGCACTACAATATCAACAACTGTTGTTTACCAAATCCATCCGTTCACCCACCTCCCACCCCACCAACATGCATGTATGCGTGCATGCACACACACGCACACACACGCGCGCGCGCGCACACACGCGCGCACACACACACATCCCACCCCAACATGCATGTATGCGTGCATGCACACACGTACACACACACACCTGGATCATTAAAATGGCCAGAGATTAAGATAATATAGAACTGGAGAAAATTAATTAATGACATGGAACTGGAGAACATAGTTCTTTTGCTAATTTTCAGTTAACATTTGCTGGACAATGACATTACATTAGGTGCCAGTGATATAAAACCGATGGAGATACACAAATTGCTGGCCTTGGGTTTATTGAGAGATGTAGATATGTGAATGAGTAATTACAGTTCAGTGAAGTAAATGAAACAAGAGGCAAGGGGGCAGGGCACAACCTTTGAAAGAATGACATAGCCCAAGGACATGACATAAACTGATTAGAAACAAATGGATCCAAGATGGTGGACAAGTCAACTTTTTCCACTAGACCTTGAACCTCAGTATATGCTCACAGCAGCAAGCTAAATGACACACCCACAGGCGCCACGACAGTTCCAAGGCTGACCATAAGGATCAAAAAGTGGGCGGTGGGGCTTCCCTGGTGGTGCAGTGGTTGAGAGTCCGCCTGCCGATGCAGGGGACATGGGTTCGTGCCCCGGTCCGGGAGGATCCCACATGCCGTGGAAAGGCTGGGCCCGTGAGCCATGGCCGCTGAGCCTGCGCGTCCGGAGCCTGTGCTCCGCAACGGGAGAGGCCACAACAGTGAGAGGCCCGCGTACGCAAAAAAGAAGAAAAAAAAAAAAAAAAAGTGGGCGGTGGCCCAATTCCTGGAAATCCCCGCCCCTTCCTGAAATAACTGGAATACTCCTCCCACTCATTAGCCTATGAAATTACCCACTCCTATAAAAACTGACAACCCCATACCCTGGTGCCTTTCTCACCCTCTGAGATGGCCCACACTCTGTCTGTGGAGTGTGTTTCTCTCTAAATAAATCCACTTCTTACCTACCACTTTGTCTCTCACTGAATTCTTTCTGCGATGAGACGTCAACAACCTGACCTTCATTAAGTCCTGAAACCAGGTGTGTGATCTCAATTGGAAGACTGTGGGTTTTGGCCGGTTTCAAGTCCCAGCTGCATGGGTTTGAGTCCCAATCAGGGTTTTGGCTGGGTTTGAGTCCCGGCCGTGTGGGTTCAAGTCCCAATCTGAGGTGCACGGTTTCAGCTGGTGACCACAAAGGGACAGTGGTAAGGTAAGAAAATGTTGAGAGTTAGGTCTTGGTCCTAAAGAGGCCAGTAGGATGCCACGAGCCAGGCATACAGGGGAAGATGTTCTGCCGACGTCTGCTCATTTTTGACCAGTGGGTCAACCCCGTATAACTTATGGACATCCAACAGCAGGTCCAAGACAGAATTGTTCATCTCTATACTCTTCTCCTTGACTCTGAGGTTTTTCTTCTATATTCTTGTATTCTTGTTCATTCCTGCTCTATTTCTTTCTTTCTTCTGTTAAACCCAGAAGACCTGTGTGACCACCAAGGTGTACTTTTTATTGCTTTCACTCCCCTCCCTCTGACCCTTACAAGTGCTGACCCTTTATTCCCAACTTATAGGTAGAACAACTCCCACTCATCGTCAACACAACTGGGGACGTCTTCTGTGCCATTTCTTTGCGACTTTTTGGACACTAACACCTGGTTGGGAGACTACCTTGGAAGGGATATCATCTAAAATTGTAAGTACAAATCTTGACTAAATTGCACGGTGGATTTTGACTTAAGAGTGGAGTTTTGGATAGCTCAGGAGTTAAAGACATCACCTCAGGCTTGTCTGAAATGGGTCAGGCTGCAACAATCCCAACCAACACCCCTCTGGGCCATATACTCCAGGATTAGGAAAGATACGGACAACAGGAATTAAAAGGAAAAAACTTAGTAGGTTAGGTAATCAGGTTTGGCCACAATATGAGTTAGGACATTTAAAATGGAGTGAAGTACCTTATGTTCAAATTTTCATGGCCTTGTATCTAGTCAATGAAACCCAAAAGGAACTTAAGGTGTATGTAGCTCGGGAGGGATAACTCTAGGAAGGACACAGAGGACATTTTAACTGACTCACCCTACAGGTCCATGGATCCCTCCTCCCCCGAGGTACAGACCCTTTTGCCTGTGCATTTCATAGCCTAGTCTGCCCCAGACATCAGGCACAAAATTCAGAAAGCAATTGCTGGTCCTCAGACTCCAATGAATGACTTGTTCCAATTGGCCTATTTGGTTTTCAGTAATAGAGATATGGCCCAAAAGGCTGAATGCACCCAAGAGAAATATGCAAAAGGCCCAAATGATTGCAGTGGCTTTGTCCACTCGGAGACCACTAAAGGGGAAGCTGGCTTTTCTGGGCCAATCTGGCCCTGGCAGACCACAAGGCCCACGGGTACCCATACAAGGCCAGTGTGTGCCGTGTGGACAAAAGGGGCACTGGAGGGAAGATGATGATTGATGTGCCCTTTACAAAAACAGCCAGGGCATTGGAAGCGGGAATGCCCCAGATGCCAGAGAGCGACAGGGACCCCTCAGCCCTTGATGGTTTTGAAATCAGAAAACTAAAGGAACCCACGGCCGGCCGAAAGCGGCTCTGCCTAGAGATACATCTGCATAACTAACTCTTGGGTGGTCGTTGATGTCGCGAGCCATTTCATAGAATTTCTTACAGACACTGGTGCAACCTTCTCGGTCTTAACCCAAAGGACTGGAAACCTTAGCAGCCATAAGGAATACGTAATGGGGTCGTCAGGGAAGAGACAGGGGCACACTTTCCTGGAACTCCTTTTGTGCAAGATCGACGGCCAGCTGTTTTTACATTCCTTCCTGTTTGTGCCTGACTGTCCCATCCCTTTAATGGGAAGAGATTTATTAACTGAATGAGGGGTCACTCTGTTTCTCGAGGGGCAAGGGAACCACCCTCATCACCAAATGGTTCTGACAAAAAGCAAAACGGAACAGATAAAATCTGAAGCTAAAATAAAAGCCTTAGTAAACCCTGGAATATGGAATATCGAGGTTCCGGGCTTGGCCAACTGTATCCAGCCAGTGATTATTAAGTAAAAAGCGTTATATAGTATCTAAATATAAGGTACAAATTTCTTAAACCTAGGGAAGATCCTCAGAAATGTTTGCAAGTAGATTACCAAAACAGCAGGCCGCCGGTCTGCCTAAACTGACCATAGCTGATATTCAGAGCCCGATAGGAATTTTGGAAGAGGCCTTCTCCCCTAAGCTAAATGAGGAAAAGTAAAACTTTCCAACATAGGTGAATGGGTCTGTCAGTCCTTCAATATCATTGAAGAAGAAAACAAAACTGTCTTTGTTTCACAAATGTTGTCTTTAGGGGATCAGAGGTGTGGCTCCAAACTAATACAAAGTCCACCGATCCTTTTACCACCCCCCAAACCTTCCCTATTTATCTTAAGAGGCTAGTAAGGAAAACAAAGTCATCCTAGGAGGAACTTGCCTGTACCTTTGAGATACAAATGTCCTATCTGGTCTTCTCAAGAACGCTTATCTCTGCTATCGTTTTAAATAAACGAATGTTTAAAAAGTAATTTAGAGGGCTTCCCTGGTGGCGCAGTGGTTGAGAGTCCGCCTGCCGATGCAGGGGACACGGGTTCGTGCCCCGGTCCGGGAAGATCCCACATGCCGCAGAGCGGCTGGGCCCATGAGCCATGGCCGCTGAGCCTGCGCGTCCGGAGCCTGTGCTCCGCAACGGGAGAGGCCACAGCAGGGAGAGGCCCGCGTACCGCAAAGAAAAAAAAAAAAAAGAAAAGAAAAAGTAATTTAGAACTTTACTTGTCAAGGATAAATAGAAATCTTAAGTGTCTTTTCTGTAAACGCTAGTAAAAAGGGTTTAGCCATCTAGGTAGGTGACCTTGATTTGTTTCATCTGCTAGAAGCCCGATTTGAATCCAACCCCTTGTAACTGATGGCTTTTATATTGTACCTGACTCAGGGCTGAAATTTTGAAATGGGAACTGTGAGGCCTCTGTGTTTGTGTGTTCATATGTACCTATACGTGTGTTGTAGGTGTATGATATTGCCAAAAATGGATTAGTAAAAGAACTCTACTTAATTGGCTTAAAAAAAATTAAGTGCTTATATAAATACTCAGAAATAGAAAATAATCTGGCCAGAATGAATTTCAGGTTCATGTCATCTGGAAAATATTCAGTACTAAACTGCTGTCTGGTATTGAAGGTGGCTTAAGCCTGTTGGTTTTATTAACATAGACATGTAAGAGTCATCGATGTTAAGCGTAATACTTCTAATAAATCTAAGTTTATTAGAGGTCAAATAAGACCTTATTCTATGTTACAAATTTGTCAACAAGAAAGGTAACTCAATGTGAAAAAAACTTTTTTAAAAACGTATTTGTTTATTTTGGCCTGCATTGGGTCTTCGTTGCTGCGCGGGCTCTCTCTAGTTGCGGTGAGCGGAGGCTACTGTTCATTGTGGTGCACGGGCTTCTCATTACGGTGGCTTCTCTTGTTGCCGAGCACGGGCTCTAGGTGTGTGGGCTTCAGTAGTTGTGGCGCACGGGCTCTAGTGCACAGGCTCAGTAGTTGTGGCGCACGGGCTTAGCTGCTCCGCGGCCTGTGGGAGCTGCTCCGCGGCTCGAACCCGTTTCCCCTGCGTTGGCAGGTGGATTCTCAAACACTGAGCCACCAGGGAAGCCCGAAAACAACTTCTAAGAAGAGTAAGATATGTATTTTTAGTAAAAGAAGGTGTGAAGAATGAAAACTACTGAAAAGAGTTATACATGATCAGGATTTTCTAAGATTGGATTAAATTTAGTTGGGTAAATGGATTTTGTTGGGAGTGGGCTGGGACAAGACTGGATTTGGTTTCTCCCTCCAAAGTTTTCTTGAAATGCTGCTTTTAATAACAGATAGTATGAGTTTTTTGCCTTTAAGTGATCTGTATTTGTTTTTGAGATCTTTTGTAACTTTAGTTAAGTATTGTCTCACAGCGACCTATGATCTTATTTGACCAAGTGTTTTAAAACTTTTTGACAAACTTCCCAAATGTCAAATTTTAATTAAGCTTGTTTTGATTTCCAGCTAACTTTGGGGTACTTTAGAGGACCCCTAGGTATCTTAGAAGAGAAATATTTAACTAGGGTTACTTGGTATGTTAAATGTAATCATTCGTATTTCTGCTTATTGTAACCAAGTTTCTTTATCGATTACATTGTAATCAGATGTTTAACCATGGCTTTTAAGTCTTTTGTCATTTATAGATATTTTTGTACTCTGATGCTGTTACAAAAAGTGCTTCATCATCAGGGAGATTCATAGAAAGTCTATGGAAGCAGTTACAACAGTTCCACACCAAGATGATGGCTATGCGAGGATTCCAAGCCCATACTGACTTAAAACAAGGAACTGTCCTGCCCCAGGAGCCCCCTAGATCTGGCATCCAGAGATGTTTACTCCCTGACAGGCAGGGTCGATGCCCCTACTCAGCCTTGAAGTAGTTACACAAGACGGACCATCACCCTTCTGCTTCCCATAAGAATATGGGAGTAAAATCTGAGGGGGGAATGAAATAGGCGGCAAGAGGGCAGGGCACAACCTTTGAAAGAATGACATAGCCCAAGGACATGACATAAACTGATTAGAACCAAATGGGTCCAAGATGGCGGACAAGTCAACTTTTTCCACTAGACCTTGAGCTTCACTATATGCTCACATCAGCAAGCTAAATGACACACCCACAGGCGCCATGACAGTTCCAAGGCTGACCAGAAGGATCAAAAAGTGGGCGGTGGCCCAATTCCTGGACATCCCCGCCCCTTCCTAAAATAGCTGGAATACTCCTCCCACTCATTAGCCTATGAAATTACCCACCCCTATAAAAACTGACAACCCCATACCCTGGCGCCTTTCTCACCCTCTGAGATGGCCCACGCTCTGTCTGTGGAGTGTGTTTCTCTCTAAATAAATCCACTTCTTACCTACCACTTTGTCTCTCACTGAATTCTTTCTGCGATGAGACGTCAACAACCTGACCTTCACTAAGTCCTGAAACCAGGTGTGTGATCTCAGTTGGAAGACTGTGGGTTTTGGCCGGTTTCAAGTCCCAGCTGCATGGGTTTGAGTCCCAACCTGAGGTGCACAGTTTCATAAGTAGTATGTAGGAGCAATCAAAACACCACTTCATGGTGATAGGTAGTCTGAGTTTTATTTCTTATTTATTGAGATATAATTGACGTATAAGATTGTGTAAGTTTAAGGTGCACAAGGAGTTGATTTGATACATTTGTGGATGGCAGTATGATTACCACCATAGTGTTAGCTAACATTTCTATTACTTCACATAATTACCATTTCTTTTTTGTGGCGAGAACGTTTAAGATCTACTCTTTTAGCAGTTTTCAAGTATACGATACTATATTTTTGACTATAATTACTAGGCAGTGCATTACCTTCCCATCTTCTAGTTACAAGTTTGTACCCTTTGACCAGCATCTCCCCAAACCCGTGGTCCCCCCCGTTCTCTGGTAATCACCATTCTTCTCTCTGTTTCTATGAGTTTGGCTTTTTTTGATTCCACGTACAAGTGATATACAATATTTGCCTTCGTCTGGCTTATCTCACCGAGCACAATGCGCTCAAGGTCCATCCACGTTGTCGCAAATGGCAGGATTTCCTTCTTTCTAGTAATCCGAGTTCTTAAAGTGAAAGTAGTTTTCCACCAGAGAAGAGAGAGAGGCCTTCCAGTCGGGGGACAGCGTGTGCGAATTCACAGAGGAAGGAAACAGCTGACTCTGACGCAGGTGAGTGACGGGGGTGGGGGTGGGGGGCGGGCGGGGGGAGCCCAAAGGGCCTGGACTTGCTGAAGGAGAAAGCTAGTGAGCAGACAGTCTGCAAAGGGCCTTTTCCTCAGGCAATTTTCTGGAACGCACTATGGAAAGCCCCAGGAGGTTTTTATACATCAGACTGATCAGATGAAATTTGCATTTGAGAGAAATCAATGGGGAGAATGCAAAAGAGAGACACTTAGGGCAAGAGGCTGGTGAGGATCTTCTGGGAGTACCCAGGTGAGATATGAAGGGAACTGACCTCGAAGCTCAGGAGCAGTGGGGGAGGGTGTGTGTGTGTGTGTGTGTGTGTGTGTGTGTGTGGAGGCTGCAGTGTATGATAAAGTATTACACTGCGTTGCAGAGAGATCAGGGGAATGATTATTCTTAGTGGGTCATGAAGTCAATTTAATGCGCTCCAACCAGCATTTTTTGGTAGAAAAGAATTAAGTAGAATAGGAAAGATATATTAGTGTGTATCATATGAAATAAGAGTAACTGTGCGTGAAACTTTGTTCAGTGCTATACATGCAGGTGTTGCTCTGTGTGTGGGGGAGAGGGGGAGCTGTGTACAGAGATGCAGGAAAAATACATGTTTTTCACTGTGGGTGGCAACCAAACAAGTTTGGAAGCCACTGATCCGAGAACGCACTAATGGTGCAAAGCAGAGAGTAATTGCCAACGGGATTCCCAGAAGAGAAGGATTGAATCCACGTGTGGCTGTCAGGGATGGATTCCCAGAGAATTTTGGGAGTGGGAAGTGGGCCTTGAAGGAGGATAGTGTGTGGATGGGAGAGAAGTGGGGAAAGCATCCACGCCAGGGAGAAGGGGGTAATCTGGCTGGATTCCTCCTTAGCCTCAGCCTTTCCTAACAGCCTCAAGACAGTTATCTTGAGGAGGCTAACATTTCAGTCTCAGCACAGAAAAGCATCTGCTGACAGAGTATCTTTTCCTCCAGCACTTATGTAAAACCCATCTGTCAAATAACCCACGTCTCTTTTGACCTTCTACACAGGGGCACTAAGTTCATTCTCAAAACAGCTTACTTGACTAACAAACAAGGGATGTTTTCAATTTTCATGAAAACTCTCAAGGGAAGGAGAATTGAATGAGCTGAGATCTGGGTTCAAGGTCTAGCCTAGAAGCTCATTCATCCAGTCACTTGTCATTTCTAAACCCTGTTTTTGCCCATCGTAAAATGGGCTGATCAGAACGACCCAGCCTTTCTCCCAAACTTGTGAGCATCAAATCAGATGACATAAGGGGTGCAAACCTAAATTACCAGGGATGCAGACAGGTTACTTTTCCCATTTGCCAAAAGACCCAACTAATGTCAGATCCTCTGAAAAATAAACACAATCTGGCAACCTTGTCATTGTTGTAGTGGATACAAGACGCTATTGTTTTATCAGCTGGCACCAGAGTTCCTTTTTAGGGAAGGAAGTGTCTTTGTTTAGGAAAATACCTTGACAGGCCCCTTGGGGATAGAAGGTGAGGCCCTAAGGACCTGGGTGGGGAGGAAACAACAAAGATAGCTAAATACTCAATGGCTCTGCCTAAGAATTGAACAAGAATTTGGTGGGAATTCCCAGGCGGACCAATGGTTAGGATTGCACGCTTCCACTGCAGGGGGCTGGGGTTCAATCCCTGGTCGGGGAACTAATATCCCACATGCCACACCGTGCGGCCAAAATAAAAAGAAGAATTTGGGGATGAGGAAGAACAAAGGAGAGACGAAAAAGGAAAACTAAGCAATCTGGTCAGATACTAATGCCGTATTCTGTGAAAAATTGGGGAAGATTTTTAAGAACAGAGAGATCTCTGGACTGCAATTCTGCAAACCAGTCCTCTCTCCAGGGTAACCTATTCTCCAAATCTCCAATAAATGTCTATTACAAAGCTGCCTTTGTGGGAGCAGGGCTAGTGGGCAGCAAAGAGTACAGGCTGTGTTCAACTTTGGGGGCAATTCTGGGATAGAGATAAAGGCGTGTCCACAAGACAACAAAGAAAGAAGTTTAGAGTCAGGTGACACTGAAAAACACAGGTCCAGGGAATTCACAGAAATCTTGGAGAAGGCCTGGGTTTTCCCTACCTTGTGAGATGGGGTTCAAACCAATCCCATGTACAGTTGAGGTGTTAGGGTTACTCCAGTAGGTATATGAAACCATTGACCATCCAACTCAATTATCACAATAAACATTTTTCCAGGCTTCTCTCTGGCTGAAGTCAGTATTATGTGGCCATTACTAATTGAACTTAAGTCATAATTTAAGAATCAACCACACAAGAGAGACCACACCAGCTTTTTTCTTCTCTTTTTCTGACTGCATCCTGACCAATATACACTCCGGGCAGTACTAATCTAATGCAGATAGGTAATCCCTTTCTGAGCATCATCTGTTACAGCTGCATCCTATTTAAAGCATTTCATCATCATCTCATTGAATACCAGGTCTTCAAAATAACTTTATGGGGCAGGGAAAGCCTGGGTTATCAACTCCACGTTAACAATAAGGAAACTGAGGCCCAAAGAATCAAAAAAAAAGAAGAAAGAAAAAATTACATTTGTATTAGGTATGTGCGATCATCTCAGATTTTAAGGAATGTTGGAGTCATAGATATAAATGCATGAAAAGTCAAACAACAACATTAAAGAAGTACGAATAAATGTAAAAATAAATGTTGTAAGGGAGAGCACAATTAATTTCCGGAAGAATGATAGAGATCACAAGGCATCCAACATCAAAGTCAGGCCAGCTCAACCCTCTCGTGACCCCACCCACTTCTTTCCATCTTGTTGGCCTCCCAAAGCCACTCATTGTCTCCACCAGGATTACCATAATATCTTCCTTACTAGTCTCTCTGACTCTAGGTTTGTCCCTATAATCAGTTCTCCAAAAGGCATCTTTATAACATGCAAATCTCACCCTATCACTCCCCTACTTAAACCCTTAGGGGCACCCCACTGCACTAAATTAGAAATTGTTTAACCTCATCTATACACAAATCTTTCTTGATCTGGTCCTCTTATCTCTCAGGCCTCAGCTCTTGCCATTTGCTGCCTGAAACTCTGCTCCTTATAGACTGCTATATAATTAAATAAATATTTGGTCTCTGCTTTTCCCTGGCACAGAGCTCCTGAAATCCTTGGGATTTCCTGAGTGATAGGAGTGTCTTTTGTTATTCATAAGGAATCCCTTTCTATCCTAAGTTTATGCTAAAGAAGTGATTTAGGGCAGGGCCCCTAGATAGCCTCCAGATGGGGCTGGTTACCAGAAGGACCAGGTGATTAAAGTGTGAGAATTTCCCGCTGGGAGTTGGTAAGGAAACGCTGGAGGTTGAGGTCTATAAAAACCCTTGAAGAGCAAGCGAGAGAGAGAGTAGTTTGGAGTTGGTGAGCACGTTCACATGCTGGGAGGATGGTGCACCCCAGTTTCACAGAGAGAAGTTCCTCTGCTCCGGACCCTTCCTGATCTCTCCCTGTGTACTTCTTTATTATCAGCTGGTAAGTGTAAGTAAAGTGACTTCCTGAGTTTGGTGAGCTGATCTAGCAAATCATCAACCCCAAGGAGGGGGTCCAGGGAGCCCCTTATTTATAGACAGTAGGTCAGAGGTTTGGGTGGCCTGAGACTTAAAACTGGTATCTGAAGTGGAGGTCGTGTTGTGGGACTGAGCTGTAGGGTCTGCACTAACTCTGGGTGGTTAGTTTCAGAATGAATTGAATTGTTGAACACCCAACTGGTGTTGGAGAATAGTTTGTTGTCCAAAAATGTGTCAGGTGGATACTTTTTGTTTTGCTTTTGTTACTGAACTGAAGTTCATGTGCCCAACACACAGTGAGGCCAAACAAACTGAAACGTCAGAGTTTGGAGCAGAGAACGATTTATTGTAGGGCCAAGCAAAGAGACCAGGAGATTTCCACTCAAAAAGCCCAAACTGGGGCTTGCCTGGTGGCGCAGTGGTTGAGAGTCCGCTTGCCAATGCAGGGGAAACGGGTTCGTACTCCGGTCCGGGAAGATCCCACATGCCGCGGAGCGGCTGGGCCCGTGAGCCATGGCCGCTGAGCCTGCGCGTCCGGAGCCTGTGCTCCGCAACGGGAGAGGCCGCAACAATGAGAGGCCCGCGTACCGTTAAAAAAAAAAAAAAAAGTCAAAAATTAAATTATTGGGGCTTCCCTGGTGACGCAGTGGTTGGGAGTCCGCCTGCCGATGCAGGGGACACAGGTTCGTGCCCCGGTCCGGGAAGATCCCACATGCCGCAGAGCGGCTGGGCCCGTGAGCCATGGCCGCTGAGCGTGCGCGTCCGGAGCCTGTGCTCCGCAACGGGAGAGGCCACAGCAGTGAGAGGCCCGCGTACCGCAAAAAAAAAAAAAAAGCCCAAACTCCCTGATGGTTTTTAGGGAGAAGTTTTTATAGGCAAAATTTGAGGTGAGGGCTGCAGGATGTGTGACTTGCTTCTGATTGGTTGTTGGTGAGGTAACAGGGTGGTGTTCCAGGAATCTTGTGCCCAGCCTGAAGTTATTACCCTCCACCTGGTGGGGGGCCTGCAAAAGAACTCAAAGATATTGTTACGTATATTCCTTTTGGAGAAACCGGGACCCTGCCCCATTGCTACACTATTGTTTCTTGGCTGACCCTCCCTTGTTTCTACATTCTCTTACTTCCCCGATTAGTAATTGTTTGAATCTGCTCTTTGGAACGTAGGGAAGGTCCAGGAGGCTGAATGAAACCTATTTCCTACAAACCAGAAACAGGGAGCACAGAAAGGATTTATACCCAGGAGGGACCCCACAGGGTGCTGCTTGGTTTCACTTTGTTCTCCTGATTTCATGAACTATTTTTCCAGGCACTCTTGCCTCCTGGCCTTTGTATGCCATGTCCCTTCTGCTTGCATCACTTTTTTTTAAAAATATTGATTTACTTATTTATTTACTTAGGCTGTGCAGCATCTTTAGTCACGGCACGTGGACTTCTTAG